AATTGTGTTTTGGAGACACGGTGGAGCAGAGCTTGGTGGAAAAGCAGGCGGAGGAGAAGAGAAGGAGAGAACCACAGAGCTCTTCGAAGATATCGACGGCTTTTAAACTAAAGTCGTTTTATTGTTTTTTGTTTTATTTTTGATGTACTTGATTTTACTAATAGAATTAATCAAACCAAAAAATATTTATAAAAACTAAATATGAAGGTTAAAACCGGATTATCATTAAAATAAGTACTAATGAGACAAAATTGAGTTGAAAAAATACTAATGGGACATTTCCTATTTGATTTCAACCCAATTAGCCAAATTTCTCTAATAAATTTGTAACTCTTGTTTCTTTGATTGTAGAGATTCTCATTGGAAAAGTTACTCAAGATGGTAATCCTCTTCCTTATAAGAACTTGTTTATGTTCTATTTTGTATGAGCTTCCTAACTTCAGTAATTAATTTCAATCTCATTTTTTTTAGTATTGTACAACGTACGTTCGTGCTCTGGGATCTTGAGAGCAACCAAGTTCCCCGCGCTTACGATGCTAGAATGATCCGGCCTTGCTTAGTTCGATTCATCGATTCTGAAGGGATTAGAGGTCCTATTGTTTTCGAATCCATTGTTGCATATCTTGAACAGGCACGGCTTCCAAAGTATCATTTTCATCCTATCATACTAAGTGGAATTCCGATTACAGTATTGGAATCAGTAAGTTTTTTTGACCCAAACAGTTTTGTTGAATTCTTGTAGTGTTTCTTACTATTTTTGTTTTTGTACTACTCCAGATGGTCCCTAAAAAACAGATATCATACACAAGGAACCCGTCACAGAAACAAAAATATTGCAAATTGAGGAAAACGATTGTATTAATACCAATTCTGACTTACTTAGAACAAAATCATTCAAATAGAGTAAATATAAAGGAAAGTCGTTGATTTGAACGGTTGTGATCAATCGGTTGCCACGAAATGATGATTGTACGATGATGAATACGATAACGGAAGTCACGTGAGGTTCTAATTGGGCTTGAGAAGATTTGGGCTTATTATGTGAAGCTAATCTTAAGATAGCCCACACTTAGTTTTTACAAACGTAAGTTTTAAAATTTTTATAATAGCAAAAATTAGTATGTGAAAAATA